AGCACATGTTCAATGTGAAAAGTGACAGTGGATATAGATTAGTTGCAATTTGGTGCTATATAGATATAAAGTGTTTTAACACCTTGAATTTCAGGGGGGCGCGGGGCTCCGTTGGCGGGGCGCAGCGCCCCTCCAAGACAATGGTAGGGGAAACACTGTCATTGTTTTGTATCATTTTGTCTTTACATTGTCCTATTTTGACCTTTATTTGATATGGTAAATGGACTGTACTTATATAGCGCTTAGCATACTACATCATTCATCCTTTCACACCTCATTCATACAAATAGTGCCACTTGCTCTAGGAAGCTAACATTCACACACATTGATATGAATGCCATCAGGAGCAGCTCAGGGTTGAGTATCTTGCCCAAGTATACAATCAACATGTTGTCTGCACGGCCTGGGATCCAACCAACTACCTTCTGGTTGAAAGGCGAACGCACTTCCTCGTAGCCACAGACGCCCACTATTGTGATGTATTGTGTTACGTATATTATCATCACATACGGTAACAAAATATGTATTGTGTTATACCGTATTGTTATAAATAGTATGATTACATATAGTATTATTGCATGTAGCGTCATTATGTATTGTATCGTTATCGTTTTTATTTTTACGTATGGTATCATTACGTATTGTTTTGTTATGTCTTGTATTTTTAAACATTGTATTGTTATGTATTGTATTGTTATGTACTGTTACATATTGTATAGTTTAGTATTATATTGTTACATATAATACTGTTTAAAAATGTTTTCTTACAATAGCATATAAGGGAGTAAAATAGCCATTAAGAAATTTCACAAAAGTTTAAGCTTCTGAAAAATGTTGTAATAATTGTAACAGCATACGTTGGATAGTGCATTGTCCGTAGTTACCTTTGTCCTGGGTACCCCTCAGAGTATTTGTTGTTGAGACAGGAGCCCTGGGCCTCGAGCGCTGCACGGCTGCAGAAGTTCTGACAAACAAGCACAGTGTCAAGATCCACTGCCACACATAATATATTATGTTTGCTTATACTCGGAACACTGTCACCATCCAAATATAACCTTATTTACCTGGATAAGGGTGACTGAACCCCCATGCAGTACAACCAAAGTTCAAATCTTTGCAAATACCAATTGTTCAAACCAAAGTCTCAAAGGATAATTAAAGCCATCTAAATCTGTTAATTTGTTTTGCATTAATCTTACAAAAGGTTTATTGCAGCCTTCTGAAAGCTGCAACACTGAATTAATACAGAATATCTCAAAAATATGAGGGGATTAAAAGACGTTATAGTCAAATAAAAAGAGGAATATAGTGAAATCGAACTACTGAATCCCTGTGGGGTTCAGCAATGTGTCAAATGTTCCAAAGACACTCAGAGTCTGACACAGTCAGAGGAGAGATGGAGCCGCAGAAAAGGAAATGAATGCAAATGAATTTCTCTCCCTGTCTCTGTCTCTCTTTTTTCTCTCCCACTCTCTCCTGCTCATCTTCTCTCCCTGTCTACCTCTCTGGCCTCCGCAGCCGCCCCCTCTGTCTTGTTATTATACCAAACGTGTCACTGCTCCGGGATCCCTCAATCACTCCAGTGGGATTTAAAACCAGCCCTTAGTGTGACACAAAACTCTCTCTATGACATTTTCCAAACACTATCTCGACAAACACACATACAAAACCCCTCCTCTTCGACCCAGCCTGAAATTTGGGAGATTAATGGCAGAAATCGGTGAGGAAACCTAACGGGATCACTTGACTGTGGTCCTGAAGAAAAAGGAAAAAACTGCAGCCTCCATTGGGAGTGAGTCTGAAGCAGTAACTAACTGCACATGCACAACTAAAATAAATGTTTCAGATGTCACTGTGCTGCGGATCCATCATTTACTGGTGAATATAATAATACAATGTCCTTTCTTCCCCGTCAGCTTTCCCTTAGATTAGATCGCAGACTTGAAAGGGGAAAAATGCAAAATAAAAATGTCTGAAGAAACATATTTTCTTGTTACTACCAAAGGAGGGTCCTCTGCAGTTTAACTTCTTCTACACCGTTATCGCGTCTGTCTACAGAGAATCTTGTCGTTTCCTTTTTTTTTCAAAGTTTGTGCTGCTGCCATTGTGCAAAAGACACAAAGAAGGATTTTTAAGCCATCACCCTTTACGAGAAACTCCAGGCAGATACTGAACTATGCCTTGTAGGCTCACTATTTGGCTAAACATCTGACTATATTGTGATTATTACATGTATGTTTTAACATTTAGGTTGAATCTTGACAGTAAACTATCTGTGTTTGTCTATGGCTGAGGTCTTCTATGGGAGAAGTGAAATTGTAATGTTAAAAAAAACATTACATAGCACAACCTCAAAACACACCTGTTATTTCTTGACCAAGTTCACACACAGACTAGTATGTGTGACGCAAGATACTGAACACACATTTAAACAGTCACTCGGGGACATGGGTCATCACAGCTTACATTCAACCTGTGTCTGAATGGTGCATATACAATGAAGATTAAGATGGAAGAAGTTGTTAAGAATATTGTTTATCTTTTAAAGCAACTGCAACATATGGTTTACATGTGGGGGTTTAAGCCTCCTATCTGTTATAGAAATATAGTACCAGGGTCCAGGGCCGCCTTAATGCAAGGGCTGACCTGGGCTGAAGCCCAGGGGCCTACGGAGATCAGGGGACTTTCATGAGCCAATTAAAAAAATTAAAAAAAGGTTTTTTATTTCGGATGTTTTAAAAAAAAAATTAAATAAACAAAGTCTTGGCTTTCAGAATATGAAACTTTTATTTCCAAAATCACACGATAAATTCATTTTTGAAGCTTGTAAAGGGAAGACAACAGCTCTCCCTCGCCACTCTGCTGTTCTGCTGTTCCCCTCCCTCCCGCTGAAATTATGAATGTAAGGCGTATAGTAATCATAGATAAGACGGCAGGGTCCGTTACAGTTTGTTTTCATCTGATTTCAAATAAACAAAGTCTTGGCTTTCAGAATATTAAACTTGTTTTGACAAATTCAGATGATAAATAAAACTTTGAAGCTTGTAACGGCATAATTACAAGCGGAGAACGGAGTAACTTGACGTCACAGCAGGCATAACAACAGCCGGTGTTTCTCGTGAGGGTTTTCCCCGGGAAACAAACACAATACACACAAACGCAAAAATACACAAACACACACACACACACACACACACACACACACACACACACACACACACACACACACACACACACACACACACACACACACACACACACACACGTATACACACACACTCGTGAGCTTCCCCCAGACCAGTAATCCAAACGAAAATATCTTCCCTCCGTACTACTTTGATCATTTGCTCCGCTAATCAATCAGATCGATGGATTCCAGAGATTTTTCTCAAAAATGATGACTCCGAAACAGTCCCAATGTGTTTTGGCTTGTGCAACCAGCCAATAACAAACCAAGGTAACACCCGCCACCTTATCACCTGAATCTCCTCCGAGAGCACTATTGTGTTTTTTTAAACCAAATACCTCTCAGAGGGGCGTGGCTAGCAGCAGCTCATTTGCATTTAAAGCTACAGACACGGAATCAGCACTTTTGAAACAGGGCTGAAACAGAGGGGTTTGTTGGATGCTACAATGCATGATCTGAGCCAAACACTTCAGAGACATGTTTTGTATATATCTGAGAACTATAATATGATGTTGAAAATGTTTATAATAGGGGACCTTTAAGAGTGAATGTAAACCCAATACTACTCCTGTCTCCCTCCTCTGTACCTCTGATGCGATGAGCTCCAGACCCCGACACTGCCGGTTCTTCTCCTGCTGCAGGAGGCTCCACATCTGTGGGTCGTCCTGGGCCAGGGTCTCCTGTCCCGTCCAGCCGCCGGCGCTCACGAAGCCTCGCCTGCATGTCCCCGCTGGGACCTGCCCCTCTCGACCCAGACCTCCTGAAGCCCTGAGGAAGAAGGACTGCACGGGGCGGAGGGTGAACACACAACAATATCATTTAGGATTAACATCCAAATAACCTCTTCTTAAACAATTATGGCTCTCTGTTCGGGAAGACCCTGGAGAGATATTGTGCTTTTCAACAACGCTGTGTTTTTAATAAAACCCAAGTCACAGGATTTGATGCAACTCTCCATTGTGCAATTTGGCACTGCATGTGCAGAGTAAAAGTTATTTTTACTTGTGTTTTTCAAAGATAGCTCCTTTGGCCTCTTTTGAACAACCTCTGCAATAAACACTTTCATCACTCAAAATGATAATACTTTTGGAAACAAGGGACTTCGAAGAATGCGTCTTTTGATGTTCTAAACAATCCATTAAATGAAAGCCAGTGAAAAAAACAAACGTGTGGAGCTGGTGGGGGAAACCTTGGACATGAAACGTGTACACACACACACACGTGTACACACACACACACACACACACACACACACACACACACACACACACACACACACACACACACACACACACACACACACACACACACACACACACACACTTATTTATCAGGGTCTTGTTTGTTGAAGGCAGCTGGTAGCGGCATGATAGTTACGTAACCATGTGTTACTTTGGCCTAATAGAAAGATTACTGTTCAGGCATAAATATGTATTTTAGCAAGACTCCTCCTCATCTTCTCTGTTCATTATGTTTTCTAAGTCTTGAGTAAATTAAGTCTTGCATAAAGCATACGGTGTACAGTCAACTTTTCTCCAAATATTCTGGGACAAACAGTAGCACTCCTTCCTGTTTTGATAAGCTGACATAATCACACCTATCATGGCGGCACCTGAGAAACTGGAGTGCATATTGAAAACACATTTGGTTACAGTGTGCATCTTCAAAAGAGAAGTTTCTATCATGTTTGAGGTGACCCGAGATGACCTAGTTTGCAGTAATAAGTGATTTGGGTACATCTTCTCTCCAGAGACAGTGTCAGAGACCTTCTTGTATCAGCGCATGTAAAAGCTCTGAGAAAAATACATTATTAAAAATGTACTCACCCGTAATGTTTGCCGAAACGACAGAGAAAGCATGGCCGTGACAGCTGAGGGCTGGGAAAACAGAAACTTTCCAAGGTGCAGAGGGTGAAAGTAAAATCAGTACTGGAGGAAAGCCAAGGACATGCGTACTTTGTGTCACAGATAAAAGTGACAGCAGCGGTAAATCATCTGTTGGCTCTCAGTTCCATAATCAACAAATATCTAATCGGTCACTGTACAATCAACAAGCAATGAATGCACTCGTTTAAAAAACGACCCAATTCTATCTCTTAAGTTTTATCTTGTTTGTATCAAGATCAAGTTATAGATTTCAAGTCTTATAAACGCATATATACATTTTGTAGGCATATATACAAAAAAAGTACACAAAAAGTGATACCGTGGATCAAGTGGCTGCTTTTTTAAGACAATGTGGAGCTCTCTGTAGATGCTTAGACAACACAAAGCTTATATATAAATGTCATTAAAACAAAAACAACGTCCAAGCTGCACACACTGACAGTGTATATACAGCAGAAACAGTCAATCTCAAACCTATAATTTCAAAACTAAACACATGATTTAAAAAAAGACAGATGAAAAGTCAGTGTGTTATTTCTGAGAAACCATCATCCGAAGTGCTGCTGGTTCTGCACCGTCTGGAAGTTGTGGTCCGGGCAGACCTTCTGCACCAGCCTGTAGTCGGTGCCGGTGAAGGCGATGAAGATGCATATGACCTTAAAGGGTTTGGCGCAGATCCAGGCCGCCTGGGACTGCGTGTTTTCTGAGTAGCAGGTCTGCCTGGGGTCGTACAGGCAGGGCTTGGTCTTCTTGGACCGGTTGGTTCTCTGGTACTCGATCCTGCAGTTGAGCCCTGCCACCATCGCCACGTCCGGCTGCTGCTTCTGCTGCTCTGGAGGAGGAGAGCTGGTGGACTGGGGCGGGTTCTGGAGCTGGGACGTCAGATCTGGAACCAGGACTTGGTTTTTGGTGGGAACACCCTGAGCTGCTGGATCCAAAACCTCCCATCCCACAGCTTTGGAGGGCGGGACGATGCTCACGGATATGTTCCCCAGACGAGACGAGTTGTGGCGGAAGTAGACGCTGAACGTGCCGTTGATGTGGTCCACGATTTTCCCCGTCACCAGGAGGCTGAACTTCACCGTTTTCACATTGAAGTAAAAATCTCCCCAGCCCAGGATCTTCTTGGCCTTTGTGGGAATTTTGGCGGGAGGTTTGGATTTAGGAGGAGGTCGGTACAGATACTGATCCAGGGCCTGGGAAAAGTTCTGAGGCCATCCATACGGACCCAGAGCGCCGTAAGCTGGAGTTTTCTGTTTGGTGGAGATGATCTGTAGGTCTTTGACTTTCAAAGCAGCTCCCAGTGCGTCTCCTGCTTCTCTTTCCTCCTCTCTCCATTGTTGGCTCTGGAACTCCAAGGGAAGGGCGGTTTCTTGGACCTGTGGATGAGAAATGGGAAATTAAGGGGAGCTTAAAGGTCTATTTGTAGGCATATATTATAGGTCTCAGATATATAAAAAGCATGTCTATGAAGTGTTTTGCTCAAAATACCAAACAGATCACCCATTCTAGCAATGCCTCATAACCAGGGGTGCGGATAACAGGTACGCATGCGCGGCAAAAATCTGAAATGCGTAACGTCACTTGTGTCACTGCGCGCCTTTGCGTACCAGGTCATCAAAACAAAACACTTATTTCGTCTACACGTGCTTCTTGTCAACAATCAGTGGAGTAAACTATTAGACATGTCAAAAAACCAAAGACATTATATAGTCATGTAATCATTTCTTAGTATTTGATGTAAATGCAAGGACTTCACAGTTTTGGCAACAAGTTTTGGAGAAAGCAAATTGGAGGCTTAAACAGAGACAGGGAGGTGCATCTGCAGCATCTTCATCATCTACCATGCAAGAAGTGTAAATAAAGGACAGTGAAGGAGACACTGAGGAGGACAGTGAGGAAGACTGCACTTATTAACACCACGCTACGTGTGGGGTGAGTACCAAACGCTGTCTCCTGGTACTCATCTGAGTAACTCACTAAAAAGGTTAACCCTCTATTGCAGCCCTTTTAGAGGAGTGCTGATTCTGGGTCAGTAGCTTTAAAATAAATAAAAGGAGAACTCACGGAGGACAATTCTACCGAGATACTCGGCTAAACGCTGCCGTGATTAAACGCCATGTTCAAAACCACATCAAGAATTATTTATGAAACAGGAGCTCAAATGCTTTCTCTCTTGCGGGTTTACCACAAGGTGAGTTCCTTTTTTCCAGTGCAACGTTAGCTCTGAGTGTTAGCGATGCTTGCTAAAGTAAACAAAGACCGTCTTACGTCCATAACACGTTGCACATTCTATCTGGTAGCAACGTGTCTGAAACGGCCGTTGGCATAAAGCCAGCCCGCATTTTCAATATTGCGTCATATTGGCAACAAATTTGGATCAGCTCAGTTGTACCCCCGTTTTCAGAGATTTGGGTACGGAAGAAAAGAGACAGGTTTTTATTTTCTGACACTTTGTGAGTTCCCTTACACACCAGGGGGACACATATTGATGTATAAAATACATCAAAAAGTGCATTTTGCATGATAGGAGACCTTTAAACTGAATACAGTAAATGCAGTCCCACAGGATGTGTTTTATAGGCGGTCACAATAAGGAAGGAGGAGAAAGAGGCCAGCAGTAGCGCAAATGAAGGACAGTTCCAGTGTATTTACATCACAAGGTTGCAGATAATCGATTACAAATAATTATGCTATGATGTCCTCTGAATGAAAACAAGTTGAAATTGCCTCTGATCAATAGGTCAGCTCCTTCAGGCAAGGACTTACAAGAGCACACACACAGTCACACTCATGTTGCTAATAACACATTTTAATTTGACTGTCCTCCCTCTCACTCTCTCTCTCAGCCTCCTTTCAATGCCACCTTGATAATAAACTGAATCTACCAGCTTATTAATCAATATGTTTGAGAGAGAGAGGAACTGTGGAGGTGATTCTCTTTTGGAGAGTCTGAAGCAGCATCTTCTTCATACTCAGCTCCCTCTGTGCTGAACTCATTCGTCTCGAAATCCCTCTTGCTCCCTTTCACCTTTCACGTCATATCCCAGTAAACCCTCTAACATTGATTTGGACTTCTTGAAATGAATAAGGGATCAAGCTTTTCACCTGGATTCAGCATGTTTTATTCATAAACATTCTCCTTTTTCTTCTTCTCTCCTATTTTCGTACAAAAGACAGACAGTACTTTGTTAGTTTTTATAAGTTGTTTGTTTGTTGATATCAGTAATCATTTGTTTTCCATAACTCCTAGAGAGCAGAGCACTTCAGTAAAACACAGAGGCATGCTTAACTCCCACTGACTGTCCCTCAAAGTGAAAAAATAACACATGCGTATTAAATATAAAAGAAGAGGACTGTGAAAAAGTGAGGCAGGCAGCCAAACTGCTGCTGTCAATATTAAAATGCTCAAATCCCAATAAATATTAATGATATATCTTAGAATCACCACACAGTGAAAAAGTGAAAGTGTGAGGGACAATCGTACAATTTCAATGTTAAGTGTTAAAAAGTAATAACTTATCAAGTGCATCCAAGTGTCAGAACTGTTCTCTCATTAAACACTTCCATTTTTAAGTGGAGGTGTGGATTCGCTGTGGGAGACAAGTCAAAGATTTCTGCCTCTATAATTGGGCGAGACTTCCTGTGCACTCTTGTTGTTTAGGACTTTAATTCCATTTTAGGATAATATATTAAAGGCTGATGGAGCTTTAAAGTGTTTCTCCCCACACATTTCTTTATAAACAGCTCCTAGGATACCATTATTTCTCATTGGAGTCACATCACCCCTAACCAGCGCAGGCCTGTGTGCCAATCTCTTACTTCTCCTGTAACACAACGAGCTCCAGCAGTGCTTTCTGTTTCAGGACCAAATCTCCAGCTATAGTGCTGTTCTCACCTACTCTAATTGGAGCCCTCTGTGTGACAGCCGTGTCATTGGCTCTGTGTCAAGATGCCAGCGCAGCCACTGCAACTGAGCAACCGTGGTGGAGTGGATGCACACACAACTCTTGTGCAAATTCACCTGCAGAGGCACACACACCGAGGAACCTGAGAGCAGCAGTTTGACTAAAGAACACGGAGAACATGTTTTGCTCTTTGCTCAAAAGGTCCTTATTGTGCCAGTAACAGATGAATAAAAACCTGAATCTTGTCATTCTTAAGCCTTTAGGCTGAAATCAACTTTTTCAAAGTGAGAAAGTTCAATTCATTTAGTTCAACTAATAAAGCACAGAATGAGCTGCTTGGAGGTATTCACATGACAGCTTCACTGTTAATACAGAGCTGCAGTACTCTGCTCATGCAGCAAAGTTAAGTTCAATTACAGACGGGGGAGACGAATAAATTACAATGATGCCTGTAAGAGAATTACAGACCACGAGACTGGAACAAATTACCATTTTGAGAAAGGAACAATGAGAAACGTTTTAGCTGAACTTCACTGTCAAATAAAAGTGTCAACTATGATCCCAAGGCAGTGTTTCAGATACTGAGTCTGAATAGCAAAACAAAGGGCAACAGGAGACTAGTGCACATTTCACTCATTGAATTAAAAACAGCAAGCTGCTAACTTTCAGTGAAACATTTTCAAAAGTCAAATCAAAAATCAGTCTCAAGATAGAGTCAAAAAATCTCAGCCAACTTCTTCAGATAAGATGAATAAGTGTCTCTCTTAACCAATATTAGCATAAATACATTATCATCATAAAACTTGATTTTATTATTCAGTCATCTTTTTAAACAGAACAGTTTCAAATGTATAAATGATTGATGCTGCTTGATTATTTATGGGTTCAATTACACAATACCAACTAATCCCCTATTCAAAAAACACTCAGTGCATCAATGCTGCAATGAGATGAACAGCAACAGAACAGGACTCCATCGGTAATTTGATCAATTTAATCTGCTGAAAATAAAACAACACCTCGCATTTTTTATTGAGCCACACAACTTTTATGGGAGGATTTGACTCACCGAAGAATGGAGCAGCCACAGGCAGGTGATGGCAAAGTTCAAACACAGCGCTCTCATGTTGCAACAGCGTGTCTCCATGCGCAGAGCGGAGCGTCTCAGAGACAATGTGCCGGCAGAACAGGTACTGTTTACTGAGTTCAAGCTGTAGACGCACTGCAAAAGTAAAGGAGACCCTCTGCAGT